CTCATGGATTTAAGTAGCAAAATGAAAACTATATTTTGCTGAGACAAAGTTTCTGTGAAATCCATATAATATTTAACATGGTGATGTATAGTCCAGCTTACCACAATTCCACTGTCTTCAATAAGGCCTCCAATACCTTTTTGCTGCAGAGCGACTCTTGTTCTGTACACATTATTACTCATTATCATGTTTTCAGTCTTACACAATTTTATTATTATTGTTAGAAACTTTTGTGTATGATATTTACATACCTGTCAAAGGATCTCTGAAGTGGCAATTGACAGCCGCAGTTAAAGCTACCTTTTAGACTCTTCTCCTGAACACCAGCACAGTCTGTGTGTAGCCACCCATTGCACTGGTCACATTGAACCCAGCTTAGCACAGTGACCTCGGGATACAATGAACTGTTGGTGTGAAATTAATATTGAAAGACAAACATTAGGTAAAATAATCTGGAGAGTTTTACAAAAATGTAGTGTGTATAATTGAATGTTCTTACCCTTCTACTGCTAACTTCTGAAATGTACATACATGCAAGGCAGCTGCCATGCAAACTTCGCCTCTACTTCTTTTAACCTGGTAACAAGATACCCATAAACACAATGGTACAGAATGATTGATGCACAGCTAACATGTTTGTTACCCATTTCATTGAAACAGAAAAGTGATTTAAAATTATTTGTATCTATCAATATTAAGAGCCTAACCTGCCACTCTGTCTCACCTGGATTACTCTGTCTTTTATGAGGGATGTAGCGTGGTACTGACGAAGATATCTTAGCTGAGGCATCTTCAGTGTTTCTGTCTCAGCAAACATTCCTCTCACCTCCATTTCTGCCATCTGTCACATATTGAATTTCCGGATCAATAACATTACAAACAGAAACATTAATGTAAATAATTAAATATTTTTAAAATAATTATACATACTGTGCACACAAAGACACCACAGTTCTGTTGATCTGATTGAAACCACTGACTTGGGAAACAGACGGACCATTCATCCAGGTTCCAGTATGACTGAAATGCAAACCTGACATACAAAATGCAAATACATTTTTTGAGGTTTATTTCTCCAGAATATAGTGATATTTTTTTAAATAGTTGAAATCTTTAGTCAATCAAGAGCTTAATATGTTTAACTCTCTCACTTGAGTAGCAATTAACTTTGACAGAGAGAGAGAATAATTGACCCAAAACTTAGAATCACTTTAAAGCAATTTTGCATTCCATACCTTAGAATCTCCATATCTGTTTTATCAATCTTGGAATGGTATTGCATGGAGTCATAAATTCTAATTTCTTTATGAGCCCCATCAAATACCTGCAAAGCAGTGGTATAATTAGAAATACAATACTATTTCTGAGAACAAGTGTATTACATAAAAGTACAGTTCATACCCAAAGTATGAAGTGGTTTCCTTTTTCTGGTGTTTTTCCTCCAACACATCTTGGAAACAACACTGTACACTGAGACTGCATATCCTGCCAGAGGATAACAACATTTTGATTAGTATGAGAGCAAAAATAACTTTTGTTTTTGTCATTTATTGGAAATGTATTTGGATCCTGGATTGTAAGACCATCGTAATTGAGGGACTTTTTTCCTTGTATAATACTGTATTTAACTGTCTTCAATTTATGGCTGATTTTCATGGGTTCCAAGGGTGATAATTGTCTATATGAATGCAAAGATTCTCAGAAAAACAATTCCATGTTTGAATGATTACCTTCAAGGACCACTCAAGAGTGCGATCTGATATCTGAAGAAGTGTATGCCAGTCACGCCACCAGCAAACAAAGACATATGTGGGCAGTATCTTCACCTGTATTCACAAAGACATACATGTAATAACATATATGTAAATACATCAGTAATTGTTGATTATTTTCTCACAAACCTTCTCATTGCCTTGTGCAAGTTGGGCAATTCTGCAATTTACCACCTGGGGGAAGAAAAAGAGTTGAATAAATGCCGGGTTAATCAGATAGTTCATATGGAAGGATAATCTTGTCAGTAAAACTTACATCATCTGTTAACCATGGTAGCGGAGTAGTAGGTGCATCATGTTCCATTGTTAGGTACTCCGGTGGCAGGAGGCTACGCAGATCTTCTAAGCTTGCACCACTTGAGCCAAACTTAACGAGGAGATGCTTCCGGTCTTTTACCTTTTTATGCAACTCCAGTAGTTTGTCCTTATTTGACAACAAAGGAAATATAATAAATACATGCATTTGTTTAAGTTGTTTAAGTGTTATTGATTGCGTCCTACCAAAAATAATGGAATACATTGTTTTCTGGTTCAGTTGGAAACAGCATCAAAGAGAACTTGTGTCTTTGCTTTCCATCTTTTTCTGAACAACTAATAATCTTTTCTTGACCTTCTGTCTCTTTTTTTTTCCACTAATGGGTAAGGCTCCTTTCCCATTGGACCTTGTTTCTGTTGAGCTATGTAAACACAAAGTGTAATGTGAAATTGTGAAATCAGTTATCAATACTGAAATTAATCAATACTGAAATCTATTTGGAATACTTTACAACTTAAGAAAATTTGCAAACTTACATGTGCCAAAAAGGGTTATCCTCCCATCACAGCCAATATCTGTATGGTGATCTGTCTGTTGTTGCATCTTGGAGAAGAATGCCAAGTTGATCCGTTGATTATGCAGATGGAAGACTAGTCTCAGCATAAACATGTAATGAAAATCTTTGAGCTGGCATAGAAAGTATCTTGAATTAGCAAGCTCCTTATTGAGCTGTTCAGCCACAGAACTGTTGAGGAAGTTTGCCACATCTGGAAGCAGCTCAAGGCTCCTGAGCTTTTCTTCTGGTCTTTTTTGGTTTCTTTGGTGAAACCGATCATAAAGGGAAAATCTGTCAGCTGTTTGTGTAACTGGATGTGGTGATTGTAGGCTTGGGTTCGTAGACGTTGAGAGTACAGGGCCTCCTGGTTGGGTTAAAAATTTAACCCATGAGAAATTGATGTTGATTTTTCCTTGTGAAGCCTTGGAGATATTTTCAGGTGTTGCCGAACTTAGCCTTCCATCATTAGGCTGAAAAAACTGCTGTGCTGTTCGGTTGTTTGTGTGTCTTGCGACGCGTCCAGCAACATCTGAGATGTATATCGTTGGTGGAATTTTGAAGCTAAGAAGACCATCAGTGTGGTCTCTAGCTGATTCTTGCCACCAGAGGGGAGAGCAGTAGTAAACTACTGAGTGCATGCAACTTGCATGAAGAACTCCACCTAAAGAAATATGACATATCATATTATATATACATTTCCACTCTCTTACAGTATTCATAAAGTAATTGATTTTGAAATATGTACCTCCTGTTTTTTGAAGTTTAATAAACATCTTAGGATAGATGTCTTTGTATAGTAGAAGCTCCTCTAAGCGATTCAATATATCTGATACAGATCCTTCTGAGGAAACACCAAGTTCAGAACAAGCAGAAACCAGCTCTGACTTCTGTGGCTGTAAAATAGAAATAAACATGTTAAAAATACATCTAAATGTGATTTATTGGATAAGTGTGGTAATATACAAAAGACGATCTCTGAATGAATAAAGATACTAATAAATATCCTGCTTTAACCATCTGATCAGATATTTGCACACCACTTGAGGATGCTGGACTATGTGCAACACACAGGTGCAACTCCCACACTAAATACCCACCATCACTGTATTCTTCAGCAAGGTACATAATCACAGGTTACTCTATGGGATTGTTCATATAAATCTAGATATAAACCACTTTAGACAAAAGCATCTGATAAAATAAGCAATTAAACATCTCAATAATCATGAATGTTGGTCACTCTCTAGAGCAGCTTCAGGTAAATAGCACAATGTTACTACCTTCTTGGATTCAAGTAGGTGAAGAAAGGTGTCTTCTGAAATTGAACCCTTGGGTTTAGCATCAGAATCTGACAGATGTCTTGAAAACCCTTTTAGGACTTCTGTTTTTGGCACAACAGGTCCCACTCTACTCAATGCTCCAATCCAAGGGGCGAAAGCAGAGTAGGAAACTTTACCAGTAAATGGATTCTTTGACTTTGTACCTAAGGAACGTAAAATGTTAAGTTCAATCAAAAGAACAAAAACGCAACAAAAACTGTATTGCACTATAAACCCAGGTGACAAGGTGACAGGTCTGATTCCCAAATGCAGCTAGTATATCACAGTATCCCTGAGCAAGACACTTAACCTTAAAGTTATGCCAGGGGTCTGTGTAATTGGTAACAATGTATTCTAATGTAATTGTTTTGTATAAAATGATCAACTACATAAATATGTAAGTAAAATACTACCATCACAGAATCCAACAGCAATGAGTTCTTTCTCAAGATCTTCCCATCTCTTTTCAATGTTAACAGACAAATCAGTCTGCTGAATATCTTCTGGTGGCCTTTTCAACAGGTTTACTGTTATTTGTGGAAAAAAATAAACATTTTAGAATTCAATTTTATTTTAGATCTCATTAGTCATATTTTTATCTTATAAGGAAATTTTGCCATAAGATACTCACCTGGTAGGTCGAAGGCAACTTTCAAGTTAGCATCAGCAATAAGGATGGGAGGATGGTGTCCACAGCGGTTACAGCAGAATTCATATTTGTAATCGGTCAGTGCAGAGAAATGGAAAAATGCTTTCCTCAGGGTGTTGTGATGTAGATGAACATCAAGGTGATCCTCCATCATTGAAAGGAAACGGCCGATTGCAGTATTGTGCTGCATAAAAAGTACATATTTATTAGTATAATTGCAGAATATGAAAAGAATGAAAGTGACACTGTAGTTCTGTGATTAAAGGAGATTTTACCTTAACTGCTGTAGTAAGCATGGAACACAGTGGAATGCTCAACAGCACTTTATTATTGAAGTTGTGGAAGCCAGATTTATATTCCTGGAAGCGCACCTGCATGTTGCACACTAAACAGTTTTTCACAGATATTTGAACACCTACATAAAAAAAAGAACAATTGGTTAATCAGGGTCTGTTTGAAGAAAAGTATTGTTGTTAAGAATATACCTTAATTGTATCACAAACCTTTTGTCACTGAATAAAGACCATAGATTATGGCATTTGAAGTCACAACTTTAGGGTTTGAAAGTTGTGGTCGTGTGGGACCAGGACAGTATGGACATAGAGATTCTTCGGGGACAAAGGCAGCTGGAAGAGGCTTCTGTTCCCTTTTCAGATCTGGGGGAAGACTTTCTGGAATTCGTTTAAATTCC